GAGTTTCGCGTGTACGATTTAGTCGCAAAGTGCAGCTGACAACTGTTTTCTGTAAGCATCTGACATAATTCTTCCATTGTACTTATGTATCCTGTGCAACTACACTATGCGCATGTTGAACCGACATATAAAACTTGCTATGTAGCTTACTTCTTTCCCTTCGGAGCATAGTAGAGTCCGCTTGGCCTCAGCACAAAATAGTGTTTCTTCCAACTTTTCCTTCCATCTGATTTCAAGTGAAGGAATCCTTCGAGTTCAGGTGGTGATACGGTCTCACGTGTGAAAAAGTCCTGCAAAAAATAGAAAGGTATACTGGAAAGGTTTGCTTCTTAATTTTGCAAGGTTAAACAAATTTAGAGGCTATTTCCAATATTTCCAACAACTTTCAATTACGAGACTTCTTTTAGATTATTCAAAAGTTGCTCATCATGAACTATCCATAAAAACAACTCAACATTTTTAGAAGTCAAAAGTACTGTTTAAAATCTGAATAATCACCTGCACAAATTGTGTCTTGACCTCCTTTGTCCAATTATCTCCAGGTGGTACCTCAAGATCAGCAGTTTTCTCAGTAACAAGATAGAGCTCGGGTCGATCTGAATACAGTATTGCATAGTACTAGTCGTCATGCACACAGAACTCATAACAAAAAGTTCTTTTATTAAAACATTAATGATTATACGCCGACAACAATCTATGCAAAATGCAAAGCTGAACTTACCAATAAAAGGATATTTATCAGGGCGACGGATAAAATAGAGCTTATTTGGTGAGTCCTGCACCCATAATTGGATGTTCTCGACCAGGTTCTCATGATCTTCGTAGATTCGGCCTTAAACGGAAATTTTAATTCATTAATTTTTGAGGATTTTTTCTATTAGATAACCTCTACATTCCTAAAAAATCTTCTCAGTATAAGAGTCATCTGTATCCCGATCAAACACCACTCCCTGTTCTCTCTACCTCCACTTTTATTTTTTCAAACAAATCACACAATAAACCATAATTGTATCATACTCCATTCAATAACTTATCTCACTATTTAAGTGTCGCTCCTATTAGCATTTGAAAATACAACAAACTCACGTATATAAAGATCAGGAAACTCCTCAACAATGCAATGATCTTCGCATAGGGTGATATGATGCTTGTCGGCAAGTTGTTGCATCGTCTGTAAAGGAACAAAGTGACTAAAGGCGTTCTTCTTCCTACTTATTTTACAATTCTGGAAAAAATAGTTATTATATATAAGACCACTTACATCGGCCACCGTCCATCGTTCATCGACAAGCATTTGTAAGGGAGCGCCATCTTCGACGAAGAATTTCACAAATATTCGAGTGATCTGAAATTGACTACCGCTGCTCCAAGAACTTGTCAGAGTTTCCAACATTAAGCTCGCCATTCTATGTTTTCTTTCTCATTAAGACTCTCTTGACAAGACCAACCATTTTTTAAAATTTCAGAAATTGAAACGATTCAAAACAAGGTATTTGTATGCTTGACTCGAAGTGCAAAATACAGGCCGAGGAGGAAATCTAGGCGAATTTACACCAAGACCGGTAAACATGGCGTCACATTAAATACATGTGGCGCAGCTTCTTTTGATGCTCACTATGGAGCTCAAATTACATTCAAAGTAATGTTTACTGAGATTACGATAAGGGATTGTGTATTTAAAGAAAGTTGGATGAGACAAAGTTGCCAGTCGATAGAAGAGGGATGAGGGTGCATTGGACATTTGACCTTCGCCTCTCCCTCCTCTCCTTCTTTTCCCTCCACTTCCGCTTTCAACCATTCTCTATATAGAATCCCCTCACAAGCCATTGTTATTGTTATAAGTCTATGTGCTATGTTC